TAGAAATAAGTTCGTGTCACTTATTCAAATAACAAGAAAATTTAATTAGCACATCTTATTCCCTTTGTATTGCAAGTCAGGTACAAAAGGTGGTATTTGCAATCAACAAACATTCAGTTTGTTTTATGTACACTTTACCTCTTGATTGTTTAAGATTAATAAGTTTGTTAATAGATTTGAATAAGCCCATACTTCCTGAATTTCTTAATTAAACATTTTTTTAAAAATTTCATGAAGTGCATTTATAAAATCATTGTAAGTTTCATTTTAGATATTAACTTTAAAAGAGCCGCTCCCTTTGGTATCTGCAAGGATGAATTTTCTTAAAACATTAATAGCCTCTTTTCAAAATACATGACTCTTTGAACTTGCAAAGCATAATAATGGTTTCATTGTTAGATACTGAATCTTTTATACCTTATAATTAAGCAGTAATCCTATTCTTTGAGAGTTTTCTTACAAGAAAGATAGAAATATACTCTCCATTTGCAAGCAGTGATGCATAGCCCACACTGGACTTCCAGTAATGCCTGTGGTGAGACAGAGAAAAGTGGGGCTAGGTTTCTTATTAAAGGATGGAACCCATTAAATAAACCACGTGTGATGGCTGATACAGTTTGATACTAGGATAGCATGATTTATTAAAAATCAGTTTGAATCAAAGAGGGGTCAGATAGGTTATCTGCTCAAGTGCTAAGTATCATTAGAAATTATATTGGTAACAGAACAATATAACAATAACAATATAACAGAACAATATAAACAATGTTTACTTATTTTTGGGAGAGAGAGACAGAGAGTGTGAGCAGGGGAGGGGCCGAGAGAGCACGAGACACAGAATCTGAAGCAGGCTCCAGGCTCTGAGCTGACAACACAGAACTTGATGCAGGGCTCAAACTCATGGACCACGAGATTATGACCTAAACCGAAGTCAGACCCTTAACCGACTGAGCCACCCAGGCGCCCTGAACAAAACATTATTTAAATAATTAAACAAAACCAAGGAAAGCTTATCTGTACCTATAATGTAAGTTTTTCATCTCTTTACCTTTTGAGGGGTACTGGTATTTGTCTAACAAGGTAGAAAACAAATGGGAGCTCCAGAGTGAGAGGAAAGCACAGAATGAAGTGCTTAGCTTAGCTACAGGGAATACACATTTAGTTTAAGGAAATGGAATCCTTAAGAGAAGTTGATCAGGACTTTTTACCAAATAATGGAAAATTGAATGATAGCCTGCTTCCTTGGACCTTAAGCATTAAGAAATGATGCTTTCCCAGTAAATACTACACTCATCAAACTCCTTGTTCTAAAAGTACTTTCTCATCTTTTTGGAATCATGAACTTCCCTTGGGGATTTGGTGAGGTCTATGACTTTCCCCCCAAAATTAATTTTATTGTAGTTAGGGACCTCTGAAATCCATTTTGGAATTCTGAAATGGTGTTTTTCAATCATGAGTAATACACAGAACTGTTTTAAATAGAAGTAAAACGCATTGTGCTGAGTTTATAATCTTAAATATGTACAAGGTAAAGCTGATACTAACTTCTTGTGTGTCTACTTTTCTATACTATAAAATAAAAATAACTTTATAAATTAAATCATGTTACAAACTAGCAAAATGCAATTCAACAACATTAATGTGACAGATGAAATAATATTGTAACTAAATGTCACTTGCAGTGTGAATATGGTGCAGATAGTATAGTGTGAGTTTGAGTTCAGAGCACTGTAAATATATCTCATGTGAATATTCTGAAACTACTTTTCTCTACTTGAACTACTTTATAACCTTCATTATTTCAGCATGCTGTTAGGTAATTTGAAGATATAACCAATTCTGCTTGTCTTAGTGTTAGCCTGAAAAAGTTAAAGTAGCCTTGTTGTTTAATACCAACCCAATCAAAAAGTGAAATCACAGGATAGTACTAAGTAGTAAGGTAGCATCTAGGTGATCCAGACTCAGCCTGTATTAATTTTGTTGTAGATCTTAATGGAAATGAAAATACAAAAATTTTAAACAAAACAATTTCCCATAAGAACTATCATTTCCAGAAAAAAATTTCTTGCAATAGCAATGTTATTAAAAGGTGCCTAAGCTATAAATGTGAAGTTGAGGTGTCGTTGGTTAAGTAAATGCAAAATAGCTACACTGAGTCCTTCTGCATGCTAGGGCATTATCCTAGGTTTCAGTGCTATGCAAAAATAAATAAAGCACAATTCTTAATTATAAGACTCCTAATGGTTCAGTAAGAGTTAACTTTGGGGAGAAAGATAAGTGAAGAAATAATTTCATTATACTCTTAGCTGAAGTGTTTTGAAGTAGGAGCCTCACTAGTAACTACTTACGAATCCTTGTTTAGTAAGCCCTGGGTGTGAGCTTGAGGAACCAATTCGCTAAACTGTTACTTTGTTATTTTGGAGAGAGCAAACCCTTTTCCAATTCTCTATAGGTTCCTTGCTCTCTGTATCTAATTATAATTCCTTCTCCTCTCACCTCCCCCGTCTGTCATTTACTATACTAGATACACGCATTTTTTTTGAAAGTTCTTATGAGATTTTCATCATTTCTTCAATTTGAACGGAACATTTTAAGTGTGGTATAAGCTTGAAAAACAAAGACAAGGAGATGATGTGGAGAAATGGAAAACTAGTTTTCAGTGCAATAGTTACATTGTTAATGGGTAGTTTTTCTATAGGCAGGTGATGATAGTGTTTAAAACTTCCAATACTTGTTTTGTGAGCAATCGTAAGTAAGCTGTTGTTTCTTTTTATATATGAACTCCATATCCCAAATGTAGTACATTGTCTGCTGTCTACTCCAGTTAATTTTCAGTGTAGTTTTTTTTACTAATGCGTGAAAATAACGCCAGTGTCTACTTTGAATTTTACATAAGCTTAATATCATTATTGCCTTTAATCTGGACTTATTATTATTATTATCATTATTATTATTACCTGGTCTTGGCAAATCCGAAGTTCTCTCTCATTTTCAAAGCTGTATAGGATTTCCCGCTTAATGTATTATTTAGTTTTTCATTGTAAGAACGATGCCTGAGATGAGTTGCAAATAAGATTGCTTATCCCTTTAATATTTAATTTTACTAATCCCTGGCAGTAGTGATCTCAGGTATAAGGAACATATAAATACCAATTCAGTATATTTTAAATGTCTTTGAAGTGGTACTTATTAATATTTCTTTTTGAGCAGTGTTTAGTATTTTACATTTTTTAAAAAAGTGGTATTCAAAGTATTTAAGATAAACATTTGCGCCTTTAGGAGACATGGTCATTAGATATCATATAGCTTGATTTAGTTTTATGTTCAGACTAAAATGTTTTTTTCCTCTGAGGGACATAGCTTCTTAAATGAGACAAGGCTATAGATGTAATCATTCTTGACTTAAATGGGGTTTTTTATTTTGCTTGACCCTGTCATCTGTAGCTTAGTTGGAAATAATAATAATGACAGGAGACATTTAGACTGTTTACTGTGTATCAGGTACTATTTTAAGATAACATATCTTTATCTCTTTTTAATTCTGTCTTATGAGGTAATCAACAGTATTAACCTATTGTGCAGTTTAGAAAGTGAGGATTAAAACATTAAGTGGCTTTGTCTGGGTCACATACCTCATCAAGTGAGACGTGAAGGTGTCAGTCGTACTAAGAGGCAGTTATACCACTGACTCAGAAGGCCTGCCAGTGTGTCACTGTTCACCTGGGATTTCATTGCCACATCCAGAGTCAGTTCTATGCCCATCATTGCCTTAAATTTCCAACAGTGACCTAATGATGGAGTATAACATTCACAGATAACAGTAATAATGCACAGAGAAAGAGGTAGGGGGTTTAGCTAATATGTTAATGGATAGAATTGATGTATAAAAATACTTTGCAGGATGGCAAAAGTATGCTCAAACTCAGTACATGTACTTGAAGAAGGAAAGTTTTTGGCTGCTCCCCTTGAGGGGTAGGGGGAACCTAAGCTTCCCAAATGCATGATGGAGGATAGGTTTTCACATAAAACAGGTCATATAATGTATCACAAGACAAACAAGAGTGGGAAGATTACACTAGGAAGATTTTAGGTTGTTGTTTTTTTAAATGAATTCATCCCTTCATTCAAAAGTGAGTGCCTAGTGTGCCAGAAACTATTCTAAGGCATGGGTAGAGTGATGTACGAAACGGCATAAATCCCTGCCTTGGTGGAGCTTGGGTTGTAGGATCCACGCGGCTACTCTTTGTGTTAAAATGTATGCTTCTTTTACACCTACTTGTAAGTCACAAAATGCTTATGAATTCGGTGGTGAATCCTTCTCTAAAATGAATGATCAGTCACATTTTTACATGTCTAGTCTGTGGGCTTTGGCGACTCATGGAGAATTTGTCTTCATGGGCACTGCAGCTGTATTCAGTTCTTGGTAGACATAAATACTGTGGTTTGTTCCTAGTTTGCAGCTAATGAGTGACATGGATTAGTTGAAAATGGTTTAGAAGAAGCGAAGAATATAATTTGCAGTTTGGGGGATTTTTTTTTTTTTTTTTTGTGAGGGGAATAGTGAAAAGTTGTTAAAGGATTCGTTTCAGAAATACTTACAAGTGAAAAGTTAAAGGATTCGTTTCAGAAATACTTAAAAGAAATGGTCTTCTGCTGTATGAATGGAGTTTGTGTAAACTTCAGGGTGAGAAATTTGCTGCAGGACACTAATTTCTGCTAGTACCTTAAGTTATGTAGCCTTTGAGTGTCTTTGATTCTGGAGATCTTGGAGTAGAATATAGATTAATATTACTATGATATTATTTTAACTGAAGTTTCATTTGAATAACTGCGTTACAATGAACTGCAGTATGCTCTTAAGGCCACACCCGAGCCTGGCTGTAGAGGGTTCAACAGTTGAATAGACTTCATCATGACTTAGTATTCGTTGTGAAGAGACACTGCACATACGATAATATGACATATTGTTATCAACAAATGAGTTTCTTATCAACATCCAGGCAAACTCTTCCACATAGACTTCGGATATATTTTGGGTCGGGATCCAAAGCCTCTTCCTCCTCCAATGAAGCTGAATAAAGAAATGGTAGAAGGAATGGGGGGCACCCAGAGTGAGCAGTACCAAGAGTTTCGTAAACAGTGTTACACAGCTTTCCTCCACCTTCGAAGGTAAGTTGATTTGCTTGGCATAAAGAATTTTGATAGATTCATTTCATAGAGTAAGAAAAGGAGTTTTTCCAATGTATACATTCTTTCACATCACCCTTTCTCAGAATGACACAGACAAATGTATTTAAAAATTTTTTTTTGTTTTACATTTATTTATTTTTGAGAGACAGAGCACAAGTGGGGGAGGGGCAGAGAGAGAATGAGACACAGAATCAGAAGCGGGCTCCAGGCTCTGAGCTGTCAGCGCACAGCCCGATTGCAGGGCTCCGGGGCTCGAAGTCACAAACTGTGAGATGACCTGAGCGGACTTCAGACACCCCACCGACTGAGCCACCCAGGCGCCCCGGTATTTCTTAATATACGTTTGATGTCTGTTTTGGGAAACAGTCTGATAGCAAGAGAAAGAAGACTCTCTTGCTTTCCTACTAAATATTCAATTGCTAAATCCACCAAACAAGAAGCTGACATTACACAAGATTAGGCAAATATGGAAGCTTCAAAATCTGTGGGTTAATATCATTTTAATAAAATATACTGTGTTCTTTGACAGTGCTGGAATAGAGAAAAGATTAAGAAGCTTCATAACCATTCACATCTCCCTGAAGCCAGTCTGGAAGGATTATAATCACGATATTGAGTTGTTTAACTTCTCCCAAGCTCACTTCCCACTTTTTTTTATCAAAGAATGAAGCATTTAGCTTATTTAAAGTGATATTAATCCATTCATTTTTATTCTTTAGCAACTTTATCAGCCTTGGTTTTGGTTGCTCTTCAGGAGCATTCAGAAGTTTGTTAAATGATGGAGTAATAAATGTTACACATGATTTTGTCTCCTTTTAACACCTCATCAGTCATTTTGCTGAAGGAAAAAGGTTGATTTTTCTCTACACCTTCTTTCTTCTCCAATGCCATTCCATCTCTGCTTTCTTCATCCTGGTTTACTTAGAACTTGTAACATCATATATCATCAGGAAAAAAGTAAATTAAGTCAGGTTGGTTAAATTTAGGACATGGCTCTGATGGTTAGTCAAAAATGACGGGATCATTTGACTCTAAATCCATTTTCAACTTAACTTTGCAAAAATGAATATTCTTAGTCCAATGAAAACTCCCAGCCCAGGAGACCTACTACCTTCTTTCACCTCTTCCAGATGAAATTATAACCAGTAGACAGTGAGCTGCCTATGCACATGGGTTCTGTCTTATTTGTCTTTATAACCTGTTACTCATATGGTTAGAACGTAAGACTCCCAGTGTATGGTTATTAAATGAATTTCTGCTTCTTATCTGGGTTGAGACCATGTTCCTGGACGATGTTGATGCAGTTGGTCCTAAGAGAGTGGCTGTACACTATTAATTAGATTTCATCTTGGCAGTGACTCATTAGGCCTTCATTGTTAACTCAGTCTGTACCATGTGTCACAAACTCTGATGTGCATTTTACAAACAGTCACACTATTTATCCTTTAGGTGGCAGAGTGACTCAGTTTTGCTTTCAGAAATGCTAAAACAATAATGGAAGATGGGTGCTCTGTGATTTGTCTGGTGATGCAGAAACACTTTCGGAGAGATGAAAGTTCCACTTTAATATGTTAGGATTTTTAATTTAAAATAGTCCAAGCCTCCTAAAAACTAGATGCAACCATGGCATTCTCGGTAAGGAGGCAGACAATGATATGAAATGATAACTAGAGAAATGTCAGGGGTGCTCTGTCTTACTGAAGGCAGAAGGAAAACAATGTGCTTTATAAACTGTCATTGATAATGGATTAGTAGCAATTCAGTAGAATGGAAAAAACAGAGGCAGGTTATTAATGTGGAGCCAAAGTTAACTTTTATCACTGCTAAGAAAAATCACAGAGTAATCTAAATAATTTTATGTTAAGTTATGAAAACTTTTATTTTTTATTTGTTTTTAAATGTCACTATACTTTGGTTAAGATCAGCTGGACCCTAATATTTGGATCAACATTTATTTTTTAATGTTGTATTTTGGAATATGGTTCTGTTAGTAAAAATTTTTCTTTATGACATGAGAATTAACCTGATAGTTGAGTCAGTTTGGAGCTAAGGTTACTTGACACTTTTATTATTAGGGTTTGGTTTCATGGTTTTTGTTAATTGTTGCTCATTTCCTGCAACAAGAAACCATTACTAACATTTGACCACATAAGTAGAGCAGTCTGTTTTGAACTAAGTTGTGAATGCTTACAACTGTATAGATGTTAGAACACATTTTATGGTGTTATGATTTTCATGTAACAAAATATATTATTATCTTTTACTAAATAATACCTATTAATTATATGCATTCCTATTTTTAGTATTAAAGGTTTTCACTGAAAAATTTAGACCATCTTTGTATGACCTTATATTTTTTCTTGATACTGGTTTTAAAGATTTCTAGTAACCTTTAAATCTATTTTCTGGGTAGGATATTGAATGACTACTCAGAGTGTATACTTTCTGTTTGGGGTCGCTCACCCTATCTTAAATGGAAAATGCAGGTTCATAGCAGCAGGTGTAAAAGTTAAGGTTGTGACAGATGTTCTACAAAATAATTGAATGTTTAAGCTTCTTATAGACTATTCCTTATTTACATTTTGTTTCCTTTTGCTACAATAATAGAAGCATGGGTGGTTAACTTAAAACCAACAGATAATCCAGAAAACATTAATATTTGCCTTTTTAAAAAGAAACACACATATGTTTCCACAAAAACAAACATTTTAACATGGATCCTGGCTATCCATTAGAATTTCCTGGGGGAACTTTAGGGGGAAAATAGTTTGGGGGCCCATCTGATTTACTTGGTATGGGATTGGGCTCAGGCATTAATATTTTTAAAAAGCTCCCAGGTGAATCTAGTGGGCAGCCAGTTTTGAGAACCTCTAAAATATTACTCTGAATTTACCCTGAGATTCCCTTATGACAAGATGGGAAAAAACTGTATGGTCAACAAAGGAGAGTAAAAGTAATTGAGGGTTCATAGAAAGAGCATATTTTATTCATGACATAATACATAGCAGGTGGCTGTACTCTGCTGATGCCATGGTCCTTGCAGCCCTCTGAAGTGGATCTTCTTTATTTCCATGTCCTACATATTGTAGAGCTTAGAGAAGGGCTTGGTGCCCCCCTTGCTCCCTGCTGCAACTTCCAAATGATTTCTTTCCTTGCTTTCTTAAGGAAGAAAAACATAGACACACACACTGGGAGATCACACCAATAGGTATCCTCCCCATTGCTAAAAGTCAGGTGTCTGTCTGTCATGCTCTATTCCTTGAAAACTTGTATTGTCTACTTCAAGACTACTGCTGTGACTTCCACATTCACATAAGTGGCCCAGCCATGACCTGACCTCTGAGTGTCTTGTCCTCTTCATGTAGAACCAGCCTTGTCTACTGCCTCTCATGAATAACATTAATTTACCCCTCCAAAATCTCAGTCACCAGCTTTCCACTCTGACCAACATCGTCTATCCTTGCAGCTCATTTTTGGATTATACTCCTTCCTGGAAGACTTCAACCTCACTGATAATGTCCAGTCACCATTACACCATATAAAATTACACCATACCAAATCTGCCTTATATTCTCACTTTTCTCTTTTCCCCACTGAATTTTATGCCCTCAAGCTATAATCACTGCCCTTCTCTCTAAACTTTCTTACACATTTTTATCCAGTCCAATAACCTCACCTGCTGACACTTCATCTCTAATCACAACTCTGTTCCTTCCTGTCTCATGTGTACAGTGCAACAGCTGTACGTTACTGAAGAAACTTCCAACAGCCATGGTGTTCTCACCATTGGATTTAAGTAGCGGTTCTCAGCCAGACCTGTTTTACACTCCCCTTTTCCCCAAAGCACATTTCACAATGTCTGGAGACAGTTTTGGTTGTCACAACTAGGTGAGAACCTCTGGCGTCTGTCTGGTGGGGAGAAGTCTGGGATAGTCCTAGACATTGTACTTCTGCCCTAGTTCTTTACTCTTTCACAGCCCATTTGCTTTAAAAAAGTCTATCTTGGTGCCTGGGTGGCTCAGTTGGTTAAGCGTCTGACTTCGGCTCAGGTCATGATCTCACGGTTCGTGGGTTCGAGTCCGTATCGGGCTCTGTGCTGACAGCTCAGAGCCTGGGACCTGTTTTGGATTCTGTGTCTCCCTCTCTCTCTCTCTGCCCCTCTCCCACTCATACTCTGGTCTCTCTCTCTCAAAAATAAACATTAAAAAAAAATTAAAAAAAAAGTCTTTCTCACTGTCTCCACTAACCTTCCTTTTCTTCCTTCAGTGTAAGACTTCCAGATGTACCCTATCAAAACTAATTTTATCGAGATAAACTGTCACCTATACCAAATCTAGTGGCCACTTTGCTTTCTTGCCACTTGACACAGTTGAGCACCCCTTTGTTCCTGAAAACCTTTTTTCGATTTGGTATAACCCGCTCCTCTGTTTTCTTTTTGCGTTGCTGACCACTTCTGCTTCTTTCCTGATTTCTTCCCTCTTCTGTCTGACCTTTACATATTAAACTGTCTAGAATTAAGTTCTGGATCGTTTTTCCCCCTAAACTCCTTTTCAGTATTTTCATCCAGACCCGTGGCTTTAGTTAGGAACCAAATGCTGGTGTTTTGAACTAATACCATCAGCCCTGATATCCCCCCTGAGTTCTCTGACTGCCTACTTGATGTCTTGACTAAGAGTCTGGTAGGCATTTCAAACTCAATATGTCTAAAACAGAATATTACTGATCCTCAGCCCCAAATCCTGCTCTTTGTTCATTCTGTCTTATTTTGGTGAATAGTAGTTTCCCATTGCTTAGGCTGAATCCTTAGTAACATTCAGTTCCTCTGCCCCCTCTCCCTTGCTCGTTGAAACCATCAGCAAGTGTCATCCACTCCATCTCCAAAGTACATCCAGACAACATCCATATTGTTTCTTTTCTACCTGGACATCTGTGAAATAGTTTCCCTACCTCCATTCTTAGTCCCTACAAGAGGGCCAGTGAGAGCTTTTATTCATTTATTTTTATTTTCTTTTTGAGAGAGGGGGAGAGAGAGAGGGCAAGCAGGGGAGAAGAGCAGACAGAGAGAGAGAAAGAGAGAGAGAGAGAGAAAAAGAGAGAAAGAATTCTAAGCACCCTCCATGCTTAGTACAGAGCCTGACACAGGGCTCGATCCCACAACCCTGAGATAATGACCTGAGCCAAAATCAAGATTTGGAAACTCAACTGACTAAGTCACCCAGGTGCCTCTAGGGATATTCTTGACAGGAGAAGAAGCTGCAAAATTCTAACACACTGCTGTTTTTTCTTTCTTTCCCACTCTCTAGGTATTCTAACCTGATATTGAACTTGTTTTCCTTGATGGTGGATGCAAACATTCCAGATATTGCTCTTGAACCAGATAAAACTGTGAAAAAGGTAACTTTTATGTTTTCTACTTTTTATATATAAAAGATGTTAAGGTTTTAATAACCCATTTCCCTTTGATGTCCCTGGCTCTAGACTCTTAAGTAACATAAATTAAGAAAAAGAGCTATTGTATAATTATTTTTTACCTTCCAGAACACAACAGCCTCTTAGGTCCATGCAGCCAGCTCTGTTCATACCCACAGTCACATGACTAGGTCATTGCATCTACAGAGAAAGCTTACTGCTACAACCATTGCTCTTTTTTTTAGAAAGTTGTAGCTCTCCTTTAATAGTCCTGATACGATATCTGATGCCTGGCACTCACAGGCTATACACGCTAAGGATCAGAGACAAAATATTATAATCTTGTCTGGGACAAGCCATTCTATATCCTTCCCATCCATACCTTGGTTACCAGAGTTTTTTTCCATGTCAACAAAGTAGAGACATCCCCTTTAACTCAGCTTCCAAAGAGAAGAAAAAAGGGTAGTCGTCATGTAGGTGAACAGTGATTCAGACTTGCCTTACCATGAATTCTTTGTTTCTTGTTTTTGTTTTTTAACATTTATTTATTTTTGAGACACAAAACGTGGGGGAGGGGCAGAAAGAGAGGGAGACACAGAATCTGAAGTAGGCTCCAGGCTCTGAGCTGTCAGCACAGAGCCAGATGTGGGGCTCAAACTCAACAAACCGCGAGATCATAACCTGAGCTGAAGTCAGACACTTAACCAACTGAGCCATCCAGGTGCCCCTGTTTTACCATGAATTCTAACAAGAGATGGGAGGAAGGGCAACAGATTTGAAGATTTTTATCTGAATTAGCTTCTGATTCTCTGATTCAGCGGGCATGTTGGGGGTGGTGTATATGAAGTGCTTTTTTTTATATCCAGAGATAACGTAAGATCGCCTTCAATATCAGTATGATAATCATTATTGAACTTGAAAGAAAGATAGTAAAACTTTTTACCTTGAAGAAGTATACAGTTACTCAAGGACAGTAGCAGTCTCTGAGATGGAGTCTCTGTGGTGGTTGAAAATAATAATTGGAACCAAAAAGCTCTAAGTTCTGACATAACCGACTCCGAACCAACTCCAGATTCCTCTGGATTGAACATTGTCTTAGTCTATTTGGGCTGCTGTAAGAAAGTACTAGAGACTAGACGGCTTATAAACAACAGAGAAACAAATTTCTTATAGTTTTGGAATCGAAGTCCGAGATCAGGGTGTTTGTATGGTCAGGTGAGAGCCCTCTTTGGGTTGACTTTTTGTTACATCTTCATCTGGCAAAAAATGTTAGGGAGCTCTGTGGGATCTCTAAGAGCACCAATCCCATTCATAAGGGTCCCATGTTCATGATCTAAGTGCCTCCCCAAAGCTCTACCCTAATATCTTCACATCGGGCATTAGTATTTCAACATGGATTTGGAGGAGACACAAATATTCAGACAATTGCAAACATAAATGAGAATCCCTTTTACTTGGTTTTATCAGTCTGTCACAAACAATGAGGGGTTTTAATGTAAATATTGTTCAGTCTTTTAAGTAAATTATCCTCTTATTAAAACTGCATTTATTATTGTATCCACAAGCACTGTTTCAATAAACACCCTTTTCCCCTTAGGAAATAGACTACTTATCACACTGGTTTTTGGCGTGGCTTATTTTTGTCATTTATTTTTTATTTATGGACTAAACCTGGTCATCAAGAAAAGTAATTGGTTGATGAAAATTTAAAATTTCCTTGACTATAATTGATGGGTGCACTAGATTCCAAATACTATTATTTTTTTGTTTTTGTTTTTGTTTTTTGCATTGATATATTCAGGATTTGTTTTGCTGTGTATTTTAAATCCATTTATCTCTGGTTATGTATTCACTTTTCCCTAACTTCACTTGTGTTCAGAAGTCAAATTATGAAAATTCTCTAATGGTGTTTGTCAAACTGAGTCTTCCAGTTTCTTCTGCCAATTAAGTTATGTCGTTCTTGTTCTTATTAGATCTTCTATTTCTCTTTTAGAAAGTCATGATTTTACTGTATAAGGTCAGTGACCTTTTGTTAACAGTTGTCTTTGCGGCCCTATCTTTTAACACAGAAGTAACTTATTTTGTGAAGAAAAAAATGCATGTATGTATTAGTTGTTTGCCTTTAGATGGGTACTCCTTAGCTGTTTTCTGATTTCAATTAAGTGAACCTTGAAAAAAATGTATTTCACCAAACATCTCCTCAAAAGGGTATTTCATAAAAGGTTTTCTTTGCTTTCTGCTCTTTTATTAAGAATATGAAGTAATTATTTGCAACATACACTTGACATTAAAGTCCTGATAATGTTGTAAACTTATGCTGGAATAGGCTAAAATTTATGTTTCATATATTTCATTTTTTAAGAAATGTAAATATTTGGGGCGCCTGGGTGGCTGAGTCGGTTAAGTGTCCGACTTTGGCTCAGGTCATGATCTCAGCTTGTGGGTTCGAGCCCCATGTCGGGTTCTCTGCTGTCAGCACAGAGCCTGCTTTGGATCTTCTGCACCACCCCCCTCCCCGCCCCTTCCCAGCTCATGCTATCTTTCTCTCTCTCAAAAAATAAATAAACATTAAACAGAAAAAGTGTAGATTTTTATACCTTGTTGAAATAACAATTGCTAACATTACTTCGAAGTCTTACCACTTGGAACATTTTTGTGTTGGCCTCATGAATAGAAGCCAACTAGGGAAATAGAGTGTAGCAATTTGAAGCTGAGAGAAGGAGAGATTAGTTAAATTATTAGAGTAATCCTAACAAAGTGCAACAATATTTTCCTGTCTCCTTAACTTAATTTAGTATATATCAGTTTTGTTTTAATTTTTGAAATTGAATACTTATAGATGGGATACATAATATTTTTGTTGATGAGATTTGTTCATTTCTTATAAAACCCAATTGCCCAAAAAATGTGAGATGGAATCACAATGATTTAAACACATGGTCATCAATCACAGACATCAGTTAAGTATCTGGTAGTAGTAGGTTAGTGTGCCAGTCTTTGCTATATGCTGTGGGAAGCTTGCACAGAAGTTGCTTTAATCCTTTTAATAATTTAGAACAAAGTTATCCAAGTAGTCTAGTAAAAATAATGCATATTGATAAAAGCAAAGTGTTGTAGTGCTAATATAACTAAAGCATAATGGATAGACTCATTTTCCAAATGAGCAAACAGATCATACTAGTTTTTTCTTTCAATAAATTTTATATGAACTACTTAAATCATAAAGAATACAGATGCTCATGTAACAAACACCCAGTAATCACCATCTGTATTTAAACATTTTGCCCTATTTGCTTTAAATCCTCTTTTATTAGTGGATCAAAACAGTCATTAGTGTTGAACTGCACCCTACCTGCCTTCCTCTAGTCTAAGGGTGATTATTCTCCTACATTTACCTTTATCCTTCTCATGAATATTTTTTCTACTTCATTCATTCACTCAACAGTATTTATTGAGCTATTTAGATTTACTATGTCTTAAGCACTATCTTATTGTTTGAGTTATAGTAATAATAAAATAAAATTTCTTGCCTTCAATGAGCTTACCTTCTAATAAGGGAAACAGAAAAGAAACAGGATAAAGTAAGTTAAAATATGTAACATATTAATAGTGATTAGTGTTTAGAGAAAAAATAAAAGTGAGGGGAAAATGAAATGTTGAGTTGGCATTGATTTTGAAAATTTTAGGATTTGTGGCCAGGAAGGGTCTCACCAGTTAGGTTTGTCAGCTCTTTGTGAATAAATTAAAAGGAGGTATTTTATGAACCTGTGGTATGGAAATAAGATTTCTTAGCTCTCTCCGACTAGATTGTCCTAGTGAATAAAAGGAAGTTATGATATTTGAGATAAAAGACCTGTGTATTCAGAAACTGATGTAACATTGTATGTTGACTGTACTTCAATTAAAAAAAAAAACAAAACAAAACTGTATTTCCTAGCAAATTACTCACTTTGTTACCAGGGAGAGTGTGTTGAAAAAAGGCAATTGCCTATCTACAGGGAGTTTTGAATTTTCTTAGCTTTTTGATACAGGTGAGTCTCTATTTAGAAAAAAAAAAAGAAAGAAAGAGAAATAGAATAGTTTAATGGATAAACATCACCACTTAGCAGTGCTTTTTCATTCGTGTTTTTCTTTAAATGAGTAATAAATCTTTTAAATTGTGGTAATGAGTTTATTCAAAGGAATTTAACAAGATAATACTGTTTTGTGTTGAAGAATAAAGGGATAATACTGTTTTGTGTTGAAGAATAAAGGGATATGTTCTTTCTCTAAATTGATCTTTGACTAATCTGTAAAACAAAAAAAATTATATACATATATATTTGTATGTATACATATTTGTATGTATACACATATTTATAATGAATATGTGTATGTATAATTGAAAATCTACAAATTGAAGATCTGTTTCAAATGACCTGTAAAATTAAATTTCCTTGGTGCCTACAAGTTATGTTTATTAAAGCATATAAGCCATAATATCCACTCTTAGGGAGTTTTGGTAATGTAGGTGTCATTTTGCTTTAGCAGTCTTGTGTCCTATTACAAACAATTATAGCATTGATTCTCTTTTAGCAGTAGTTGGATGGGGGTTTCAGTTGTTATCATTTTTCTTTTTAATTACTCTTTATTTTAAATTCTGGTTTTTATTCAATTAAGGGATTTTTTTTATTATTCTAATGCAGTTCAGATAATCAAATGAACTCAGCAAGGAAATGCTGTTTAGATTAAAACTCTTTCTTTCACCTTGATGAATGAAAAGTGTTCCTTTGTTGTAATCACTTTTGTGATTGAATAATTATTACAAGGAAAATTTTTTTATTCTAATAATTTAAATAAAAAATTTTAATAGGAAGTGTCTGCTTTTATTATTTTAATGAAAGTTACTCTTATTTCAGAGATGCTAAACACTAAATTGTTTTAAGCAAAAGTATTTATTAACGAATGCTAAATTAGTTTCGCAATGATGTGTTTTGAGCTTTCAG